GAAAGCTGCTGAAACTGAGAGGATTGCGATGGGCCAACATGACCCCATCACTCTGAAAGCTCAAGAGGTGAAACCGACAGTCTTTGATGACCACATTCCCACTGGTCCAATTGGGGATGGCCCTGGGATGGCTTCAATTGTCAACCCAGGAGGAGTTGTAGCACCACCCAACATGGAGCCAATAGATTCAGGTCTTATGGTGCCAGTGACCCCACCACGCGACTTCGTGGAGGTTGATTCAGGCAGTCCTCGACAAGGTGCTTCTGCAAGGCCTAGTGGTGATTTGGATTTGGAGGAGGATGATGCTTCCAAGAGAGTTCGCACTGAGGAGTCAAAACGTCAAAGAATCAACAGGATCCAGAAGGAATATGAATCAAGACTCAGTGCAGTGAAGATTGCATACAAGGAGTATTTCACCATGGATGATTACTCTACAGAACTGGATTTGGAAGATGATGGTGCAAAGGAAGATGACATTTGGGCCGGTGAGAACGAGGTCCAATTGGGAACAATTTCAGAGCATCTTTGGGCTGATTTTCCAATTGATGTTTTACCCACTCAGTTGCCTGAGAAGTGGGTAGAGGATCTGGCAGATGAGACAGAAGTCAAACGTTTGGTTGCAATGGGAGTGCTAGTTCCTGCAGAAGAGTTCAACGGCAAGGTGACAGGTCGCTTGACAACCAAGTTCGTCAGGGACTGGAGATTGAAAGACTTTGTGAATGAGAAAGGGGAGACAGTCAAACGTTGGATGCGTCGTTCACGATATGTGGCTCGAGAATTTGCTTCAGAAAAGAGGCTAGACACCTTTAGCCCAGCCACAGGAGCCCATACATCCAACTTGATTCCCCTGAAGTACTTGTGGATGAAAGAGATGGCAAAAGATCTCCCAGACACTGCAGAATACGAAACAGTGCTAGGTTGTTTGGACGTGAAGGATGCATTTCTTCAAGTTGAGCAGGAGGAGCCAATCTTGGTTCACATTCAGAACCAGCCCTATGTGATTCAAAAGAACCTTCCAGGTCAACGCATGGGAGCAAAGCAATGGTTCCAACATTTGCGCAAGTATCTCTCAACCAAGCTCAACTACAGTTTTTGCAGTGAACAACCTTGTCTTGCCAGGAATGAAGAATCTACGATCATCATTCATGTGGATGACATTCTTTTTGTTGGTCGCAAGAAGTACTGGCAAAACACGTTTCTCAAGGAGATGGGGGAGAAGTTCACAGTGTCTTCTTCTCAACTGGATGGCATTGGTTCAAGTATCAGTTTTCTGAGGCGCAAGATCACAGAAACAAGTGATGGACTGGTGATGACTCCAGGTACAAGCGTGGAGAAAGTGGTGAAAGCGTTTGAAGAGAAGTTTGGAGTTGCAAGGTCACAAAAGATTCCATGTAGCTCAGAGATTCAACTTGAGGACAATTCACCTTTGCTCAGTCCACGTGATGCAAGTGCATTTCGATCAGTGGTTGGTTTGTGCCTTTACATTGGTCGTGAAAGACCAGACTTGATGTTCACAATCAAGGAACTTGCGTCCAGTATGTCAACACCAACCATGACATCACTACAGCGATTGAGGAAAATGATTGGGTACATGAAGCATGTTGGAAATGTTGGTGTGAAACTTTTTACACCAGTTCCTGGACAAGGGAAGAATGTGGATGGGACCAATCAACCTTGGGTCCTGGAGAGCTACAGTGATGCAGACTGGAGTTCCAACAAATCCCACCGTAGGAGCACTTCCTGCGGCATTCACTTCATCAACAATTCCTTTGTCTATGGCTCAAGTCGAACCCAGAAGACAATTTCCTTGTCATCTTGTGAAAGTGAACTACATTCCTTGGTCAGTTGTCTTTGCGATGGTATGTTCATTGTGGCATGTGCAGAATTCATCTTGGGAGAGAAGGTGGAGCACATACAATTTACTGACTCAAGCTCAGCAAGACAGCTAGCGTCCCGACAGGGGTGTGGAAAAGTGAGACATTTGTCAGGAAAGATATTGTGGATTCAAGAAAGAGTCAACGATGGCTTTGTTCTTCTGAGACAGATTCCCACGGCATGGAATTGTGCTGACATAGGAACGAAGAGCCTATCACAACAAAGACTCTTGGTGCTGATGCATGAGTGTGGTCTCATTTTCATTTCAACTGGAGAGAGAGTTGGGGCAGAACACCATCAACGTCAAGTCGAAAGACATGGAAGTCAACGCCAATTACAGCAGATAGCCAAAGCCATACTGAGAATGAGCATAGCGATGGGCCTTGGGCCAGTAGAGGCTGTGGCACAACAGTGTGGCGAGGAGGAGTCAAAAGCCTCCTACAACATTTTCTTTATATGGATTATGTTTGGTTTGCTTTTTGGTGTGATGACTCTTGTCTTCACAGCGTTGTGGCGCAGATGGAAAGCTGTGACAAAAGAACTGGAGTATGCTCAAACACAGCTTGGTGATCACTATGAATATGCAGCATGGCTTTGTGAAAGACTTGATGGTTTAGCATGGATAACCCCTTCAATTGAGACTCTTGGTGAAACGGTTGATGCGAACGCCGAGCGTTTAGCAGCTCATGAGGCAGACACACGTGATGCACTTACAGTTCTTGATGATGCAACAGACTGTATCAGGTATGGCCTGATGGAATTTGGAGGTTTTGTCAGGAATGAGACTTTGAGCGCAGTGCAGCGCAGTCACATGTTCGTACAAGAACGTGCAAACTTTGTGCTGTGGAACATGCGACGCAATCAACCAGAAGATACAGATGAGAATGCAGCAGGTCCACCAGAAGGTGGAGAAGAAGAAGCACCCACTGAGGATGAAGAAATTCAAGGAGAGACAGAGGGCATGTCAAACCTCATGGATTCCTTGCGCAACGACCAAAACGTTGCTTTAGCTTCAGAACTCTGGAATGATGCAGCGCAGATACAACGTGCACTGATGACGGTGCTTGACGCAACAAGTGGAAGAAGTCCCAGAGGGATGAGCATTGATGTTGTCAACACCATCAGAAGCGTTTTTCAGAGGCTCTATAGAGCGTCAAGGAACAGAGGCAGAGACGATCGAGCACAGGCATACCGCCGCTACATAGATGATTTACATGGAGTTTTGAGAAATGGATGAAACATGAATAGCTGGAAGAAAATTTTGAGATGGATTTCACAGAGAAAAGTTCTGGAAATCAGTCAATGGCATGGCAAAGACTTCAAGCCGTGCTCAAAGCTTTGAGGAGGAGTACGAACAATTGCTCACTGTACTCATGGCAAGGATGACACGCACAAAACGAGACGTGACAGTGCTTTTAGTGTCATGCAGTTCAACTCACACTGGCATGAATAACATGTCAGGATCTTTACTCGTGTGAGGCCCCTTTGGCACAAAAAGGTGAGAGTGTTCCCGATCACCCTTTGCAGTATATGTTCCGACCGCGTGCCTAACATATTCATCGGCAAAGAATAATCTTCCCATTTTCGAGACCCATTGGCTGGGACTGTCCATGTTGATCGTCACTTTGGCGGGGGGCCACGGGTCGGGGAGGCCTTTGCGCATTACACTTCACTTTTGATACTTTACACTTGACACTCCACACTTTTCACTGTACATTTTATATTTCATGCTTTGCACTTGACACTCCGCACTCTACACTTTACACTCCACACTCTAGACTCTAGAGTTTGCACATTGCACTTTGCACTTTACACTCCACACTTTGCACTTTACACTTTCCATGTGACACCCCACGCTCTACACTTTACACTTTACATTTTACACTCCACACTCTACGCGTTACACTCTACACTTTACACTTGACACTGGGCACTCTACACTTTACACCCCGCACTTTACACTTCATGCATTGCACTTTACACCAAGCACTCCACACTCTACACTTTACACTCCGCACCTGATGCCACCATGTTTCTGACAGCCACTGAGCCATGCGAATGCTTTGAGTCGAATCCTTTTCAAGATCAACCTAAGACCTAAGACTTTGAAATCTGGGTTGTCTGAACGGGGCAAGCGGGGCGAGTGCTTCGGATCAACAACGGCTAAATTGGACGATTTGAGACGGTTTAATGCTAAAACACAAGACCAAAATCATCCAAAACCTCCAGTTTTATGCAGTTTCTATCTATTTCAGTTTGGGCTAAGTATTGAACTTAGCAAGTGTTTGGGATGTTTGTGAAACCTGCTATAGCCTGAACATGTTTCCAAAAGGTTTTCAGTCAGTGTGACATCTAAGTCCAAAGTCAGTAGATTTGAGTTTCGTGGATCATTCCAGTGGCAACTCATGCAATACTTTTGTCTAATGTAAGAAAAAAACTCCCCAAACCATGATATCATTAACTCCCCAAACCATGATATCATTCAGGTTCATTTGAAATACACTTTCCACAACTGTGGGGGACGTCTCAATGATTGCAGGAAAGATCTATAGGGTCTTGTTTTGATTCATTTGCAAAGGGTGTATTTACTGCCTTCCTGGTTTCAGGTTCAAAGCAACTGGGAAATCAAACGCGAATCATTTTCCGAAGCACGGATGTTGAAGATGACCATTCATACTGACCCATGAACCTTTCATTGTGTGAGACTGGATTTTTCGAACAGTGTGTTTGAAACTGAGTTCTGTTCACCATTCATTTCAATTGAAACCACTGTTGGATAGAATCCTTGACAAAAAAATCAAAGGTTTAAACCTGGCATCCACTCTACATCATTAGTTCCATGTTGTCGGAAAAAATCGAAGTGATTCTGAACATGTGATGGATGGTTGCAATCATTTATTGCGAGATGGGTGGTTCATTTTGTTCGAAACAAATGTGTGTGAATTTTCTTGCAGGCTTTCATCAGCAGTGTTGCGCACTTGAGCCCACCCAGTATCTAATCAAGACACATACGTATGTAGAACGAATCAACTGGTGTAGATTTCATTTCTACTGAACGGTGTGAATCCTGAAACATGGGATCGACGAAGAAAATAAAACATTCCCAAAAAATCCCCAAAACACATCATTTGGAGTTGTATCCGTGCTGGTCATGCCGACTTCCGTGCGAGGTGCTGGGGTATATCTGGAAATTGGCATGCCATGGGGAACATGATAAACCAATGGACCTTGGCTGACCGTATTGTTGGACAAACCTCTTGGGTATCCACCAGATTGGGTGATGGGTGTTGAGTTGAGGTGATGATTGGGTTGATGACTAAGCTGGGAGGTAATTAATACATGTCACACATGTCACACATTTCTACCAATCAAAAGTGCTATGAATCATTGCTGTTTGCATATGCCATTCATAACATGCCGATTTGGCAGGACTTCTGCCGTGGGTCCCCATGACCAGGTGCTGTACTTGTGGCCTCTATCGTTGTTGCCGTTCATGTCGCTGAATCCTTTGTAGGCACCAAGGGAACCCGGTTTCAGTGACGGGAGGCCGTGGATACGGCATGGCGAAGTACCAACAATGGACCAAAACCAAGGGTTTTTGATGGTTTTTGCATGTTTTTTGTGTGAAAATTGACCCAGAACAACATGAACCAGAAAAACGGAATCTCTTAGAAAGAGGAATGGGGCGATCCTTCCCAAGCAGCCCACCCCATCATTCCATGAGATTGAAAAAAACATAGGCTGTTATAGAGGATATGAAAAAAACAGTAAAAAACATGCATTTTACGTTTTGATTTGCAAAAATACAAGTTTGCAGCTTTACTGTACCCAAGAATCCAGCAGAAATGCTGGAATCCATGGGTTGCCAGGCGGTTTCTGGTCTTCTTTCGGAGTGTCCCGCGCAAAAACGGGGGACCGAATGACTTCCCGTTCGGCGACCTTGATTGCAAAGCCGCCCACACCGACGGATACAGAGGTCGACTATAGGACAGGGTCGGCTGATGACCCTCAATTTCACATAGCTATGGAAAGCATGGCCTGAAATTATGGAAACCTCGAAAAACCTGATTTTCCATAGCTACGTGAGTTTACCAGAGTAACCCAAAAAAGGGGGATTTATATAACCAATGACGAAAATGGATGAGATATTTCATGAACTGATTATAGGATTGAACCATGAACAGTGGGATTTGCGATACTGGGGACTGATCATCAACAATATGAATTCACCAAATACTTGGGTGTGTCTGAAAACTTAATTTATCACCATTTGAATGGTTAAACATGGTGAAACATGGTATTTTAACCCATGAAAAATTGGGATTTGACAATAAAGAATGGACATGGAGCGGGATATCATGGGATTATAGAAAGGGACAACATGATGCTAACCATTGGAATTGGGGGTGTGCCTCATTTTCAGAGAAACTCATTTGTGGATAGGGATTTCTAGAGAATGGCAACCCAAAATTAAACACCCAACTCCAAACAGCGCAGGGGTTCGAAGACCTTTGTGGGTTTAAACATCACCAGTCCATGTTTTGCTCAGCATTTTGTCCACCCTTTGGTCTTCTCGGTGCTTTGGGTTCCGGGTTCTTTTTGATGATCGAATTTCAGACTGACCTTCACAGGTTTTTACAGGTAAACCCAAAGCCATTATATATATATATATAATTATATATGTATTTACTTATATGTGATTATATATATATATACATATATACCATTCACATTCCCCAAATTTCGTTAATTCTTGGGTATTAGCACATGTTTTTTTTCTCTCCCGTTGATTCATAGTTTTTTCCGGCTTCTTCGGCAGCTTTTTCCGGCCGTGCGTAGGAAGTCGCCCTTTGCTCAGTGTTTGGTGGAGTTCAACAAGCCCGACGGATCCCTCCACGGGGAGTCCTGGCTGTTTCATATGGATGCAGCCTTTGAAGACACGCGGAGGAGAGCTGAGCGTGGGGAAGGGGCTGCTCGGGGAGGTGACTGGAACTGGGGGAGAATTAGTTTGATATCACCCAAATGCCAATTTTTCATGGGGAAAATGATTGAGCAGTGGTTTTGGGCTAGCCAATTTTCACAGAAAACCATGTCAATAGATGGGTTAGCTGCTGATAGAAATGCGGCTGTCGGGGTCGATTCATATCCATATTCTTGACCAACGATTGACACAAGTTGAAACTGGACGATGTGACTTGCTTGCGAAAATTTTTGTCGTATCCCGACCGTATCCCAGATTAATAATTCCCATCTTTTTGTATGCGAAAAACAACAAATTAGAATCAAGATTGTAGATTTTCCATGAAGATTTTGGTATCTCAGATCAGATTGATATACCAGATTTTCGGTAGAGTTTCCATCCAGGTGCTTCCCCTAGCTCTGTTCAGCGCTGATTCCTTCTGCAGGGCTGAGAAGAAGCCGAGTTTCCCTCGACTATTGAAGAAGAGTTCCTACATTTGGGGCCGCGACACCAACGTCAGGTGGCTTGGTGATGATTGTGATGGATTTTGATGCATTGATTTTCCTTAAAACTAGCAACCACCATGAAGGTTAGACAAAGAGCATCCTACTGAAATTGTGAAGAATTGAAGAATTACCTTTTCCATCTTTTTTGGTGGTTACGAGAGGAGCTATATGAATGGACTTGGGACATGGTACTGTATTTTTTTGGCAAATTTCCACTTACGTGCTATGGGACTTGGTTGGATCGCAGGAAACGCATGAAAGCCATCGTACCAGGTGTGTGCCCTTGGATTCCTTGAGTGGTGTGGGTGGCAATTGTTTGGAATGCGTTCGCCTCTTTGTTGGGGGCACCTATGGTGGTGGTGTTATTGTCCCTCGGCATATGTTTGCGTTGCTGTGTTTGTAAAAATATGTGTATTCATACCTGTATATATATATATAGTACATATATATATAATTAGATATATTGTCACATATATATATACACACCATAAATAAGTAAGTATCTACAGATAATATCTATATATATATATACACACTACACATGCTGTTATATTCTGTTTATCCATGCCGGGCTAGACAATGTAAGACTTAAGAACTGTTGCACATGACCAAACTGCACGTTCTGACAGGGGGTCGCTGAGTCGCTGAGCGCAGGCACACACACATAAGTATATGGAACTTGGACAGCTAAATTCATACAAATGCATCAATAGATGGATGAATGAATCCTCTTCTGGCTCTGCTACCGACTACATTGGGCTGATGGATGATGGATGCCATGGATGCTTGGAGTTTCGGTGCCCACCTTCCGACAAAGCCGGGAATGGGATCGATTCATTTTGGGATCAACGGAATCCCAAAAATTTGGGCTGTAGATGGCTATATATCCACCATATTTTCCACAACTTTGTGAGCTTTGGATGATATTCACCGTTCTCCAGCTTCCACACTTAGGTTCTATCGAGCCGCATTTTTCACCATTTCTTCCAGCCTCAATTTTCCAGCATGTTTGCTCCAATTGGAGGTTCCGGCCGTGGACTACCAACAGCCAAACAAGACCAGCTGGCAGCCCTCTGAGTGTCTCCAGCTGCGGGTCTTTGGACAACCTCCGGTGGGCGATGATATCACCTTTAGTGAAACCGGTGGGGGGCCAGAGATGGCCAGGGGGCCAGGGGGGTTGGGGGGGTTGGGGGTGGAGGTTGGGAGGAATGGAGCATCAAGATATGGATGTTTTTTGGAATGATGAACCCGTGGATTTTTTGAACATGTTTTCCCAACATTTTCAGACACCTATATACTGGACGGAAACCATATAGTTGGATAGTTTTTTTTTTTTTAACACTTTTACCCTCTGGAAAGCCTTTGTTTTGAATCCGAAGTGGGAATCAAAGTCTCAAAGATGATTAACGTCGGACCTGGAATGTAGAGGTGTATTTACCCCAAAGTAAAAAATCATGTTTAGGGAGGAATATTCCTACTAAATAGATCTAAATAGTAAGATTCATATCCGAAGTAACTAAACATAGTGAATCTCCCCAGCTGGGGAGCCCTGTAAGCATTCATATCCCAAGTATGGGAAGTCGTGGGAACAGCGGTGTACAGGAATCTTCGAATAAGAAGTTTGAAAAATGGATTATGGATGATATTGAGTTAATACTTCCAACTTATCATCAATGTCATGTGTCATGTTGAAAGAACCTTTCATCCCCATTTGTCCTTGGTAAATTACATCCCCAGTGTTTTTTGGTCCCAGGTCATGGACCTTTCCCAATGACTCCAGTTTGTTGAAACGAAGGCTATGAAATCGCCACATTTTACAGCCGTTTCTCCTGGGGAGTTTTTTTTTGATGAACCAGTGGATTTAAGAACCATCATATCATACGGATTCATATGGATTCATATGGATTCATATGGTGGCTTCTATAGAAATCCTCTGGATTCCTATGGTCTCTCGTTGTATCCCATACTGTGGCATGGGAATATTCCCATTTTTTTTTTTTGGAGGTGGTGGAAGTGCTCCCGGTCACGAGCAACGCATGAGCACCTTCTGTCGTGTTGCGAGTTTTCCTCACTTGGGATGAAGGGCGATTTTCATCCATGGAAACGATCGATTTTCGGTGTTGAAATCAGATTTTGAAGTTTACAAACATCATATGACATGCGTATTTTTGTTTGTTAAGAGTCATTTTCCCCAAAATCTCACTTCAAGATTTGGCAGAAAAGCCTGGAATATTTGGCTTGCCCTTCTCCATCTTCCAGAAGCCGCTACTGTACACCTCAAATCTTCCTGTGCCAATTGGCACAGCTCCCCTGTTGCTGCTGACTTCGGTGAACGTGTCCTGAGATGTTCTGATGGTGTGATCAGAGTGAAGACCAGAGTTGCGATGTATGGGATACTTTTGCATCCAGACTAACTTTGGTTCCTATACCAAAAGTTTCATACTATAAGACCAGAGTTGGTCTATATTATTCTTTAGTCTTTTTAGATATGAATGTCTTTGGCGTTTGCATCCCACTTGGCAAGTGCAGGACAACCTTAGCCTAAACCCCAAAGACATACTTCACGCTGTTGCATGGCACTTGGCGGCGTTCACTCATGAAGTCGAGTGACAATTCTTTAAGCGCTGCTTTCTGAAGATTGGGTAGAAAGAGAGTGATCAAGTTCACTTTTTCCATCTTTGTTTTGGGGTTGCTATTCTATATCTCAATTCTCAATTTCTCTTTCAAAGTCAATATCCATATGTTTCATATGTTTCACCCAATCTCTCAAGAAGCACCGCAACCCTCCCAGACAAAAAAATCGACACATCTGGTTTTTTTCGCCATTTTCCGTTCCGCAGAGGCCACAAAACAAAACGAGACACACCACAGGCGTCACTGGGATACTGTTGGGTGGGGTCGACAGTCGGAGATGAAATCACGAGATCGACATTGCCACGTTGGCATCTTGCCACTTCTTGGTGTGGATGTTGTGTATTGCTGCGTTGTATTTATAACACAAGCTTCATTTCTTGGCCGTTGAACACATCCCAGGCAGATCTGTGATAACCATAGAACTAGCCCAACTTTAGGGGCTATACGAATGGCTTATGTAGGTTATTAATGACTTTGCAAGTACTATATATATATCACATAACCAGCTAGAAACCAGTTTTCTATATATGGCTTATAAGTGCTTTATAAGTCACTAAGTACCGGGATGCACTCCGCAAGTACCTCAATCCCTGCCATGATGTGCCGAAAAAATGCCGCGCGCGGCACCGCGTGGACGCGAACATCGCGAACATCGTGAACATCGTGAGCGGAGGGATGAGAAGCGGAAGGTGCGGCGATGAGAAACGAAGAGTTTTGATGCTAACACATGGGAAAGTCTGGGAAAATTGATGAGAAATCCCAGTAAAACATAGGAAAATCTGGAGAAATCCCAGTAAAACATGGGGAAACGGGTGGGAAATTGATGAACACTTTCAGTAAAACATGGAAAAATGTAGAAAGATCTCTATAAACAAAGGGATGGAAGTGACTAAGTGGTAACTAGAGTTACTACTTGGAGGATCATCCCACATATTGCAAGTGGTTTTCACCCTGGTGATCGGATTCGTGCCCGATTCGGGTTTAAAAGCCATACTGGGCCATACCAGTTCTCAAGCGGCATCATCCTCCAAGTCACGGGAAAATCTGGGAACATCTCTTGTTGAATTGGTGGAAAATCAGTCGGAAAATCATCTCCGGTTTCGCTTGGAAAATCATCTCCAACTGACGAGGGATGATTTCTTCAGTTGCCATTTTTTTTTGGTTTCCGGAAGAACCTTCGCATCCCAACGTCCAGGTGGGACGCAAGTCGGAACGTCTCGACCAGGCCCAGCGGCCCAGCGTTTGTTTTGGGATGATCTGGGGGGTTAAGATTCGGGTGATCCTCAAGTCACCATGGTTGTTTCAATCATAGTCGAATCCGGGATGATTTGGAGGTACCAAATGGCTTTGTTGGAGAATTTTGCGTGGCAAACCTCCAAAATCCAGTGGCCCACCGAACCTGGATTTCCCATGGATCATTTGGAGGTCCAAAAAATCCACCCCCAAATGAACATCTGAATCGTGTGGCCTGGTGTTCATGGCGCAGTCAGCGGACGGTCGCCATGGGTAATGGGGTAAGTTTCGTTTGGCTCGATCAGCAACAGTTTGTTTGGTTTTCAAAGACTTAGAATCATCAGATGTATCCGACCTTTGATATATTTTTCTCTGAGTTTGTTCATGATATTTGTTAAGTATCATGTTTTTTGTTGATAGCAGTTTTTTCAAAAATGTCTTATCCGACCTTCCCGAAAAAGGAATGAGATCTTGACTGCCAAAGATGGTCATCCGGGTGGGGTGAGAATCATAGCCCCAATTGTTGCTTTTGAAATCCCGTTGTGATGGACTTTACCGCAACTTGATGTGGATTAATATAGCTATATTATATGCTGGTTGGTGGTTTGGAACATTTGGGAAAACTTTCCATATACTGGGAATGTCGTAACCCCAACTGGCGAAAAATCACCAAGCAGTATGGCTCACACATCATCAGACTCTTGGTGCTGCAGAAATGGCTGCTATTTACCTCAATCTTCGCCAAAAAGAAGCACCAAGTTAAGATTGAACAATCAATTCTCACTTAAATGGTTAGAAATCAAAACCCAAATCTGTTGATAGTTTGTTGCAAGAATTTTCTTTATAGTCCCCAAAAATGCGGCTTTTTTTGTGTGTCTCCAGGATGTCTCCAGGATGGTATCGACCTTTTGGGGGACCTTTTTGGGATCGTAAATTTTGCCCACAAAATCCGCCTAGGGTCGTTATGGGTACCCAATTTTCTCCCAAAAACGGGTACCCCAAAATCCAATCATCATTTTACAAAGTTTCGATTGGCAATTTTCCGGCTTCTTCATTTCCAGATCAAGCCACAAAAGAGAAGGATAGTTTTTTGCTTTCCATTGGATAATTAACAAACCCATGCAATAGAATATTTTCTTCCTCCAAATCGATAAATCACATCCCGGATCCCATTGCCATCATATCATCTACCTATGATTCATCGGTTAAATTCCCTATTTCTGACGACTTCTCCACGGTTCACCCTGGTTGCACCAGGTGCCGGACGATGAAAAGGAACGGGAACGGAAAAGGCCAGGTGACTCGGGGATCGCCACACATTGACATCTTGATGGGGAAAATTCTGACGGAAAAAATTGGGTACCTGAATGTTTCACCCAATTGATGAAATGATTGGAATGATTGAAATGATGAAATGATGAGACTTTTCATTTGCCATTTCCATTCTGGTAAATTATCACAAATGATGACTGATTCCAGTGCTCTGCTTGGCTCTTGGTTGAATCCAGATCCAAGAAAAACAAGACTTGTGTGATGGGATATTTTTGGAGGGATAGTGACACCACGTTTTTGTTTGGTGGTGGTGGTGGTGGTGGCTGTTGTTCTTCTTCTTCTTCTCCTGTCAATTTCAAAGCAACTTTGGGCACCCAGACTTGAGAAAACCATCATTTGGTGCACCCCTTGAGCGTTCAATGGGTCATATTAGGCCCTGTAGGTTGAACCATTGCTATATTTAAGCGACTATTACTTGGTGCACTTGGCTTCATTTTTTCTCAACAAGATCATTTGACATGATCATGATGATGAATAAGATGAACAATAATATAAAGACGACGAAGAAGAAACACATAAAGAAAAAGGAGAACATGAAAAAAAGAAAAAACATGAAGATGAAGATAAAGATAATAGGAGAAGGGATGAAGAAGAGACAGATAGCAAACATCCCAGGATTTTCCGGGACGTTTCTTTTTGTACAGAACTTGGGGCGTTTTTTGATGCAGTGACGCAGGTCAGCTGAGACCAAGAAATGGGGCAAGTGCATCTTCCTTCTGTTGGGCGCTGCCACGTTTCAGGCCTTCTGTTGGTGTTTTCTTGGTCGAATGCGGAAACTCATGCTGAACATGGTGAAACTTCCTGTCAAAACCATCTCGAAAGGTACCCTCTGGTAATTTAACATAGCTATGGAGAATCCCCATTTTTAATGGGAAAATCCACTATAAATGGCCATTTTCAATAGCTATGTTAAATAACCAGAGGGTAAAGAACTGGTGGAGTTTTTGGTTTTCCAGTTCTTCGGATCGCCCCTCTTAGCTCTGTAAAACGGCCACCAGGCAGTGGTTGGGCTGTCCTTACTGCAGAGTCGTGGGGAGGCACTGGGCGCGGTGGAAAAGGCAAAAAGCCATGGTTTCCCGGAAATGTCTTAGATCCGGGGTTGGACATATCTTACATATATATATATATATATATTATATTATATATATCTTTAGGGAATAACCAAAAATTAATAATTAATATGAAAACATCAAATGCGAGCTCTGGGGTTGAACATGGGTGGAAAGTTGTTGATAAACTCATGGATTCTCCATATGTTTTTGATCAAACTCGGCCTGGGACCCTGGGAGAGGATAGGGTGGTTTTAGGTTAACCAACTTGAGCCCCAAGTTGGTCGAATGATACCTCACGAATTGAGCCACATCTAGAATGATACCATATCAACCAGTGAGAGATCCATTGGATGAACCACTCCGTTCAAGACCACTTTCTTCTTTCCAAGTCTCCCAAGACTGGATAGGAACAAAAAGATCCGAAACAACGGAAGCCCCGAAGCCGGCTCTTCAGTTTCCCATGGGGTTTCACCAAGATCAGCACAGGCGGTGAATCGCAGCGACCTCTTAGTCAACAGTGGCCCCTTGGCGACCGATTTAAAAATGGTGGGTTTCTGGGGAGGTGTCATCGGAAATGGTGCTAAAAAGCAAGCCATGTTTGATGAGGGAAACTCAAAGGTATTTGGGTAACTTCAGCAGATTCCACTTTTTTGTTGAATCGAACTCGCGATATGGATTTCTTGATAAAAAGGGAAAGCAACATGACGGTTTGTATAAACATGAATTTCATGATGATGCCATCTGATGCGCCAATGGATTTTGGGTACCAGGTTTTTTTTCCACATCCAGCTAGCAAGGTTGACCACAGATTTTCATCGGCGACTCAAATTCTCAGATTCTAAGATTCACCCAATCCCATGGAAAGTCTCATGAAATCCTATTACCCTCTGGTTATTTAACATAGCCATGGAAGCCATGGCCCATTTATAGATGGTTATCTATTAAAAATGGTGATTTTCCATAGCTATGTTGGTTTACCGGAGGGTAAATCCCATTGAATTCCATTAAATCCCATGGAAAGTCCCAGTTTTTCATCCCATGATTCATCCCATGTGATGGTTTTTCAGGATTTTTCTGGCTTCAACTGGGTGAAAAATCCCCAAAACTTATCACCTGAAAAAAACCCCAAAACGTCGGAGGCGGAGTTGCAGGGCCTCTGGCCGTTTTTGCAGATCCTGAGGCGCAGTCGGTCGGAAGGAAGCGCAGTTGAGATATCATAGCCTCTGGTAAATTAGGAGTTGGACCCTGAAAATCAGCCATTTTGAGTGGAAACTCATCTTCCAGCAAATTTACTTCTCATATCCATATATAACATATTAATACACATTTGTAGGTACATTTTTTGCATGATCATATGCATATAACAAATCATATCATATACACATAGACCTCCATCAACATCTCCCTGTCACAGGCTCCCTTCGTGGTGGAAGTCAAAGCTGAAGGTGTGTTCCCGGTAGGGTTTCAGGGGTATCCTGGATATCCTTATAGTCCCAAAAAGATAGAACAAATAGAATTATCACTATTTCAATGGGGATCTACTTTTCTAGTTTTTTTTTGGACACATATATTCTTTGGAGTCCTTTCCGTGTGGTTCTATCTCCTTCTTCGCGCTATCGTCTCATCCAGAAATAGCAGCAACTTGGGGATTGTAACAGATGGTGAGGATTGAAATGGGCTTCAAACAGGTGGTGAGGATTTTTATTCCAATCAACAGCCAAGCCAAGCCCAGTAGAAACCTCAAAAATCAATTGTGGGCCCCAGAATATTTTGGTTGGCGGCAGATTTTAGCTCTGTGAATATGGCCACGTGTCACGTGGACTGAGCAGATCAACCACCAAAAGTCAAGTCCTCCTGCAGGGTGACACCGAGCTGACACCTGAAAAACCCTCCATCCACGTTTGTAGATCATCAGATCCAAGTAAAAAGTTACCCTCTGGTTATGACTGGTTCAGTTTGCGAACTGGACGCAAAGTGGCCCTAATCGAAAGTTCGATGATTTTCCCAGCAAACCTCCATTGAGGATTTTTTTGGATTTTCAAGTTCGCAAACTGTTAGTCATAACCAGATGGTACCCTCTAGTAAACTAACGTTTTACGAACTGGAAAATTACCATTTTATAGCTGGGTAAATCCACTATGACTCGACTGGGCCATGGCTTCCAGTTCGCAAACTGAACCAGTCATAAGCAGATGGTGAGGCTGTTCCAGCTTGATATCCTCAATGTGATGGATCCCCGTTGTTTTGATGTCATTCTCCCCAGGCATAAATTTGATGGAAAAAATCATCATTTGTCCCATGAAAAATTGCCATGAATTGGGGGTACATAATCATATGAAAATATATGATTCATACTCCCCCATTTTCAGACACCAGTGGAACTGTATTCACTGTATTCGTTGATTCAGTCCCAATTTGTATGGTCTAAAGCACCATTTTTGATGATGAAATCCCGTAGCATTGTAGCTCAAGTCCCGATCTTTCCCAAGATATTCCCACATGTCCCATTTAAATCACCATGTTCTGCCTGGATCCAGCCCTTCATTTTCCAGACCGATCCAGCCCAAAGCTGTTCTCCAGGCAAAGAGCGAGTTCTGGATCCTGGTGACCTCGCTGTGCTGGCGACTGTGCAGCGAACAGATGGGGAGATCAGCCATTTTATGCGGAGATCATCATGGTTAGGGATTGTTGCCTAACAAAAGTGGCTGAATTCTATAGTTTATGGTAGATATAACTACAGTTTTTTTGGGGTTTATAAATTATAAACCAACAAACATCACTGTGGATGGGCCAGCGAAATCCTGCACCAGTTGAAAGTTCGGTGGTTTTTACATCCCATGATTTTGTTGGGGTTGAAAAACAATCCAAAATTGGTGGTGCAGGATTTCGCAACTACCCACCATAGCTAGAAGTCTGAATCCAGCGTTTGAATCCAGACTTTCCTGCTTTGATCATCATTAGTTATCTAAAAAAAAAATGATGAAACCAAGTGGTGAATTTCTGATGGGTAGTTTTTTTTAAAACCAATCATGATGGGGTGGGAACAATTACTGGGAAATCACCAATGATATACTTACGGTGAGGCCTGTTGAAGTTGACGCGCATAACTTGGTGAGGCCGCCAAGACTGGGAGATAATCGCCAGGATCATCCGGGCATCGCCAGGAATAAAACACCAAGGTTTTGCAACAATCCGGGATGATTCTTTGGGTTTATTTAAGCGGCCAGCAAACTGCTTTTTTTGGATGCTAACAGCTTGGATGATGCTATAACTACTTTGGGCTATTTCTTTGGTACAAGTACCCTCCGGTAAACTAACATAGCTATTGAAAATGGCCATAGAAATAGTGGATTTTCCCATTGAAAGTGGTGGATCTTTCCATAGTTTTTTGTAGGTTTACCAGAGGGTAACGGCTGGGTATGTCTGATGTCTGACCCCATGACCCATCTATGGATCATGCTCTTGGATCACGGCACCGTAGCACGATCAGCATGCTGATGTTCGGCACCGGGTTTTAAAGCGAGAAATGATGGACATTTAATAAACATCATTTGTGACAAAAACATGACAAAACATGCTGGTTTGAATTTTCAAATTTGTGTGTTTGTAAATTTTGCGATGCGTCCGCCCATTTTTCCACAGTCACCCTCCCCAAAGAACTCGGAAAATTTTGGAACATTCACTCAGGTGCTGTCCAGCAGTCGGAAGGCGCGCGGTCTCGGCCGATGGGATGCTTTTTCAGTTTAGGCAACGTTGGTGTAGCAATGGACCTGCTCCAATGGCTAGTCATTCAGGGCCTTCAAGGATCCAATGTTGGGAGGTTGGGAGTTCATCATGTTTTTTTACTGTTGACACACACACACACACACACACAAGCCCTTTGCGCCCAAAGAAGCGCGTTCAAGGTCGAGGAGACCTAGGAGCAGCCGCAGCTGTTTAGCCCCTCGCCGTGATCACTGTCGGAGCCGATAGACAATTGGGGTGGGCTCCCGGAACATCTCTGGCCTGTTGGATAACAGTTTCCGGGAATCCTTTTGCTTTGCCTGCTGGACAACGTTTTTCCCTTGCATTGCAATTGGGTCATGACAGTTTTTGGATCAATTATAGCATCTCTTTTGACCTTGAACATTTTGACCAACCTTGCAGAACAGGGGCGCAACCCGGTCCCAAATCCGGGCACAGCCGCAGATATCCCATTTCAACAGCAGATGACACAGACCACTCTGTTGGACTTCACAGGCTTCGCCAATGCCGGCTGTGAGGGTGAGGGTTGCCGTGGGTCCACTACCACGGCTGGAGCAGATCAATGGCAGTCAATCCTCCTTGGAACAACTGCGAACAGTGGACACCCGCCACCAATGAGTTCATCACTCCAATGCTCCCCATCACCTCAGACTTGTGTACAAAAACGCAGTTATAAACGGGCTTGCCGACGTGCAATGATGCATGGGTTTGCTGATTATCATGGACGACGATTGCAGTTGCACGATTTCCCATCATCCTTGATACAGAAGGTACGTGACACTGGACAACAACATCCTCGTGTACAATCATATCACCAACGAGGATCACGAGTTCAGCGATACACCACCATGTTTTGGAATGCTGGTGGGCTCTCACAAGCGATGTTTCAAGAGTTGAAGCACTGGTTGAGATCACACCCTGTTGGCATCGTCATCATTGCGGAAACCCGGTGGGGATTTGAATCTCACTGGAGTGACACTGAGTGGTCTTACATCCACTCGACCACAGAGACACCACGCAGTGGGGGCCTTCTTGTGATGATAGCCTGCAATGTCGCTGCACCAACCCAGATTGGCTTTGATAGCATTGTACCGGGCCGACTTCTTCATGTCCGGGTTCATGGCTACAAACGGGCATTTGACCTTCTGGCCCTCTACCAGTACACAGACTATCGTACTGAGACTTCTGCAAAACAACGTGTGACAGTTTGGAATGCCTTAGATGCCTGCTTGAGAGCCCTGCCACGACGAAACCATTTTCTTTGTGCCGGGGATTTTAACTGTGATCTGCATGCTCAGCCGCCATGGGTTGGTGTCACCAAGTTTTCCTGGAATCAGCGGCCTACACAAGGCTACATTCACAAGGACCAGAACCGACTCCAGGACCTGCTGCGCCTACATGGCTTGACAGCGCTCAACACCTGGGATCGTTCAGGAGCCACCTTTGTGCATAGCAAATATGTGTCACGCATTGACTTTTTCCTCATGCGCATTATACATTGTGATGGTCCAGCCAAACATATACAATATCTTGATGATGCGGACTTTGTGCCATGTAATCAATCACACCATATTCCCATGCTTTGCACCATTAGGAAACATCATGTACCATATCAAACTCATCAGCAGCCTGTCCGATGCAGCTATGCCCAGCGGAACCAGTGCAGACTTGCCAGTTTGAAGGAACTCGACTCCTGGCATCAGCTTCGACAAGGCGTCATCGATGCTGTGACTCCTGCCATGACCGAGGCGACACCAGAAGAGTATATTGTTGGCTTGCATAATCAGATTTCACCCCTGTTTCACACTCTTTTCCCTTCTCACCCCCGACGTTTCCCGAAGCCAAATTATGATTTGTTTCACCACACTACCCAGGATAAGTGGTTTCATCGATCTCAGCTTAAATTAATTGCACAATCCATGGGTGATATCACTTTAGGCACAATTTTGCAGGCTTGGCATCACCGCAGCCGGTATGGGGTCCTCCAACGTGTCCAACAAAAACAGGCTCGTGAAGCCAAGCAACAAAGGTTTCAACAATTATGTCAGGAGGTTGACGTTGCTGCCAGACACCATGACTCGCATTCCATGTTTCAGATCATCAACAAATTCACTCCCAAACGGCCTCAAGCACGAGCCCGTATCAGAGGTCCTGATGGTAGGATTGCCGATCAATTTCTTGCGCATTCGATGACAGTTGCATTTGTCCAACAACTTTGGACAGGCCCTGCACAGTTGCCGATTTACTCTGACTGCGCGCCGGGGGTACCATTTTCACTTGATGCACTGGTCCGTGCCATTGCCAAACAGCATGTCAATCGCTCAGTGGCGCAACCATTCTTGCCAGCAGTCATTTGGAAGTGTGCCCCTTTACAGGTTGCTTCGGCATTGTATCAACAACTTCAGGAATGGTGGAGTCATGCCCCCCCACGTATCCCTGCAGCATGGAAAGACTCATGGCTATTTTTTATCCCCAAACCGGGCAAGCCCAATACACATCCCTCCCAAATGAGACCGATCTCACTGATGGAACCATTGGGGAAACTTGTGCTAGGCCTCATTGCCTCCATGATCCAACACATCCTGGAACCCACTCTCACATGTTTTCCCCATTTTGGTTTCATGCCCAAACGTGGTGCTGTTGATGCCATCCAACGAGTTGCTGGCCACTGTCGTGTGACAAGAGCACTTGTCGGGTCTCAGCGTAGATCTGTTGCGCAGCAGATGACCTACGCACCCAAACTTGTCCTGTGTGGAGGAGTCTCCCTATTTCTCGACATGTCGCGGGCCTTCGATTGTGTCAATCGTCGCATTTTGTTTGATCACCTATTTGAACTAGGCACCCCCCCATCCCTGGTTCAACTGGTTGCCAGTTGGCATGAATCAACCCATTACAATTTGCAGTTTCAACATGTCACTTCCTCCATCAAAGTGGGGAAAGGCCTACGACAAGGATGTAAAATTGCTCCGCAACTCTGGACCATCTACACAGACAAGTTTCTGCGTATACTGGCGGCACAGACGGGCCAACAGTGGATCATTGATTGCGTAACCATTTACGCAGACGATATACATGTAGGCTGCTGTTTTTCTTCCCCACAAGAGTTTTCCATTCATCTACGTAATTTGGGTCATGCATTGGATGCTTTGGAACAATTGGAACTACAGCTGTCTTATCAGAAGTCCTACATCATACTACGATATTCAGGCACCAATCCACGACCGTCCTTGAAAGGACGTATCAGACGATATGGCTCTGATCACTACCTGCTTGTGCCCAGACGACATGGTTCACCCTCGGCACTGCCCATGAGATCCAAAGGGAGCTATCTCGGTGCAATCATTAGCTATACAGACTTTGAGACACAAACCTGGAAACATCGTTGCAAATCAGCATGGCTTGCATTCACTCGACTTCGAAGTTGGCTCAGCAGTCGACAACTGGACAAAAGGCAACGCTTGTATTTATGGAAGCAATGCGTTTTTACAGTCATGACTTACAGCTTGCTGGCAACTAATGTATCGACATCGATACTGCATGACTTTCAGGCCACAACCTATCGTATGGTAAGAATCATACTGGGCGATCACTCTTACAGAACTCGAACAACACATCAGCAGGTTTTCAATTTGTACCATCTTGATCACCCGCTTGACATGCTTCGAGACTTGGCCACGTCCCTGCTACAGCGGCTTCACAGGCGTGCTACCAGTATTTCACCCACAGATATACTTCACAGAGTGGACTGGACGTCCATCTATGGTACTCTACATCTCATTGATTGCTTGCGTACTGCTGTTGTGGAGGTGCCCATTTCTCTGGATCCCGCTGACCAAGTGCAGACACAGGCCCTGTTACAATGTTTACATTGTGATTTTTCCACTACATCATTGCCTAATTTGCGACGACATTTGACTACACATCATGGGACAAGACAGTATCGCACTTCATCCATTGTCCCTGCATCGGTCGCGCATCATGGTGCCCCACAATGCAAGCACTGTTTGCAACTTTTCACCACCTGGAACAGTTTTTACATACATGTCCAACGTGAATGCTGCCAGGTCATGCCTTCAGCAACACCGAGTTGCCCAGTGGATGATGAGCCCCACGATCCAATGCCGCCGACGGCCTTGCCTGCTGTAGCCTCCATGAACTTTCATGTGAGTACCCAGACATTTTGGCCAGAATTGCAGACTCTGATCTTGCATGCAGATTGGGCGCGTTTTCCTCGCAATGCAGACATGCTGGAATACCTGACCCATCACTGTGCCATTTGCGGCCTTTGGTGCAATAGGTTCCAAGAACTTCATGGTCACTACCGACAGTGCCACCCTGATCATGTTCAAGGATGTGTTGCCAAAGGGGCCCAAATCTCCATGATCATGCAGACGACGTCACCATGCTCATTGTGCCAACGACCATATAGCCGTGTGCATAGTTGCCCGACTACGCTGCAACTGGGCATGCTGCAGATTCAGCTGCGACCCCAGACTGATCGATTTGCTGTGGCTTGCACATGTGACATTTGCTCACTTCCCTTTGCAGATCTGGGTCAACTTTATGGCCGTTTGACCAATTCTCATGGACTGACTGTCAATGACTGGTGCCCATCGAGGGACTCCCATCAGGGGGGAGACGGCTGCCGCCATTGTGGCATGATTTTCGACAGCCGCTCAGGCTTGCGGCGTCACATCACTGAGGGTAGGTGTGAAGCCTTCAATCCGGCCGCAACACCGCATCCTCTGGATACCACAGACAAATGGGGTCCCTGGCTCAGGACTGGCAATTTCGATGCAACAGCCCTCACGGCACACATGCGCCTTCAGCTGACCACCATTTGTCAGTTTTGTGGCTTGGCCTATTCACGCACTGGAGACTTGGTGGCTCATCTCCTGCAATCCCATGGAGACCTCTGGAGTAGTTCCCAACCCTGGTTGCGCTTTCTCCTGCAGGCTGTCATG